TTTCCAATACTTATACTTATTTCCAGTACTAATTTTGCAGAACTTGTACTTACGATACTGTACTATACTACGTGCTTTTAAAAGTATTTTACAGAGGCAACAGCGGGAAATCTTACATTTATCTATAGCACTGAGTAGCAGTGGTTGGGATAGCGGGTGGACATACAGTACAACGTGCAGGACACTGACTGCAAAATCATGTTGAGACACTTTTGTTAAAGTTAGGAAAAGGTTATGACTCGAGTTAAATGTTAATTCAAGGTAATGTGAGCTTTTTCTGTTTCAAATTAACACCAAAAGTATTGTCATTTTACATTTATTTTGTTTTTAAAGTTTGGGTAATTGAAAGAAAATGAATGTGCTTGTCCAGGCAAGGATTGTAGTTGCAGGTTTATTATCAAAGCTCTTGAGGCATGCCTGACATGTTACTAAAACACTTGTTTTTGGAGTCTTTACAGTTTTACTTTTCATGCATAATGTATATGATCTCAAAAATTTGTTCTATTTTAAGATTAGTATATATCCTAGCTTTCCATTTGAGCATTTTTAGTGATATGGCTCACACACTAGAATGTGGTTTGTGGTTTCTTGGCCTTCACTACAATAATAGCTGTCTCCTGCATTGTGTTCTTCTGCCAGTTGTTATGGAGTGGGTTGTTGCTGTGGCCTCCCAGCACTGTGTTTAGCTGTGTTCAGCCCACCAGTGGCACTGCAAACCCAGCTTGACAATAGCAGGAGGCCAGGGGGGAGCATCTCAGAAAGGAGACGCTCCAACTCCTCCAACTGGGACTAATGTTCATCTTCAGGCAAGAGAGAGCATCTGATATGCTTGTATATTATTCTAGCTACACGAGCTATAATGATGTAAGATGGGGAAGCAATTTCATCAATGTCATATTTTGAACAAGATTAAATTTTACAAAAAAACTGGAGGGCAGCTGAGAATTTGCCACCCGAGGAAGGGGGAGCATGCTATTTAAAATTAATTACAGGCAGTCTTTCTCATATGTTCGTTAAATTAAATATTTATTTACTGACATAATCAGTATTGTCTTGTATATGTATTTGAAAATGCTGTGTGCATGGCAACACTTTTTACTGTGATATCAGTATGGATAATCCTCTGAATCCCATTCTAGGACTTTATTTCATTTATGAGATCTGCTGATACATTTTCAGGCTTGGATGGAAACATGAGAATCTAATTGGTGTCTTTTCTCTTGTTGAAAATTGATCAGTGCCACTGCACATATGGGCCATAGTCATGTTTCAAACTGCCTGTTTTGGCTTTGCTTGAGCAGAGATCTTCATTTCCTTTTTCCACTTCTTTTTCTTGCTTCTAATGCATGTCTCTTGTTTGATGCATTTTTGCTTCCTGCCTCTGGAATATTCATCACTTTTTATTTTTGTTTTCTCCCTTTTCTTTTCTTTTTTGCCTGACCTGACTGAAAAGCTTCGACATTTAGATCCAAGGCGTTAAAAGTCTAGTGTGACGTTTCCACAGTCTATAGTGATTTGGGGTGCTATGTCTGGTGTTAATAGCATTTAGTTGTCTGTGGTTGTCAACTGTGTTCAAAGTCAATTCTGCTGTCTTCCCTGAGATTTTAGAGCAATTATGCATGTGTCAGGCTGATAAGCTTTGGAAAGATGCAATTTCCTTTTCTACAGCGCCCTTACTAGTAACAAATAGTTTGCTGACGATGATGCTACTCGGTGATTTTAATATACATGTCTGTTGCCCAGCGAAGCCCCTGGCTAAGGCATTCATGGACCTGGTGAACTCTTTTATTCTTGTTCAATCTGTTAAATGTGCCACTCAAGAACGTGGTCACACATTGGATTTGGTGTTATCATATGGGTTATCTGTCTGTAACTTACATGTGGAGGATGCTGTATTCTCCGACCATATGCCCATTTTGTTTGACGTTGTTCCTCTTAGTCCTGTTGTTAAACGGGCTGCACCTACGCGATGCTATCGTGCCTTCGGCTCAGATACTGCTGAGCATTTTTCAACACTATTTGAACAACTTGTGTCCAGTCCCTCTGAGTTGTCCTCCGTAGATGGATTACTATCTCATCTGGACTCTGTTTGTAAATCTGCCCTTGATGTTGTTGCACCTCTAAGGCAGTGTAAACCCAAGGCCAGTCCTTGGCTAGCTGATTTTACTTGAGCCATTAAAAGAGAATGTAGGAGATGTGAAAGACGATGGAAAAAGGACAGGCTGTACGTTTCTCTGGAAGCTCTTAAGATGAGCTGGAAAGCTTATCAGAGGGCAGTAAAGACTGCCAAAAACTCCTATTTTTCACAACTTATTGCTGTTAATTCACATAACCCTCGTGTTTTGTATAATACCATTAATTCTGTACTGAATGCAGAGGATCATGTTCTTTTGCAATCTTCTGAGGTTATGTGTAATAAGTTTCTTAATTTCTTTATGGATAAGGTTGCCAGTTTGAGACCCTCCACTTTATCTTCTGTTGGCCTGGCTGTGCATGTTCCCTGTTTAAATTTGCTTATTGCTTTCCAACCAATTGTTCTACCTGAACTAGAGAAGCTTGTGTTAACTGCTAACCCGTGTGGTTCTCCGAATGATGTCGCTCATCCCGGTTTTCACACACAGGGCTGAACCAGCAGGCATGGAGGCCTCTGGCAAACACAAAGCCGAACCAGCAGGCACGTGGGCCTCTGGAAAACACAGAGCAGAACCAGTAGGCGGGCGGGCCTCTGGCAGGGACAAAACAGAATCAGCAGGCGCGCGGGCCTCTGGCAGGGACAACACAAACGCTGGGTCAAAATGACCCAGGATCATGACAGTGTGGGCATTTCTGGCTTGGCACTCCTGTGGATAAAATCATATCTCTCAAACAGTAGCTTCTGTGTTAAGTTGGGCTCGTCATCGTCCTCTGTGGCCCCTCTGCCATTGGGTGTACCACAGGGATCTATTCTTGGGCCACTGGGTGTGATCTTTCGTAAACACAAAGTTTCATTTCATCTATATGCTGATGATTGCCAGCTTTATTTTCCTTTCAGTCATTCTGATAGCTCCCCAATTGGACTCCTGCTTGATTGCCTTAGTGATGTTAAGTCATGGATGGCTCAAAACTTTTTAAATTTTAATTAATGTAAAACGGAAGCAATTCTGTTTGGCCCGAATCGTTCCTCTGATATCCCTGATGTTGACCTTGCTGCCCTGACCCCTCACCTGAAGAGCTCGATTACCAATCTTGGGTTAAAGATCGACTCTGCTCTTACCTTTGATGGCCACGTGAATGGGGTGGTGAAATCGTCATTCTATCAACTCAGGTGTCTGTCGAAGGTTAAATCTTTTCTTTCAAGGCGTGACTTGGAGACTGTTATCCATGCTTTTATAACCTCACGCTTGGATTGACCTCCCTGCACTGGCTTCCAATTGAATTTAGGATTCATTTTAAAGTTCTTTTATTGGTTTTTAAATCTTTAAATGGTCTGGCACCGGCATATTTGTTTGATTTGCTGAAGCCCTATGTCCCCACTCGTTCGCTCCGGTCAGCTGAGCAGCCGTTGCTCTCAGTCCCCAAATCATGGCTGAAACTGAGAGGAGACAGAGCGTTCTCTATCGTGGCTCCTAAGCTTTGGAGTAATCTTCCTCTTCACATTAGGCAATCGACATCAGTGCTGGTTTTTAAATCCAGATTGAAAACGCATTTTCATTCACTGGCTTTTGACTCAGTCGTTAACTGACTTGTATTTATTTATTTATTTATTTTATTGTTTTCGCTATGTTTATTAGTGTTTATTATTTTATCGGATTTATTATTCTTATGGTATCTATTATGTTTCAGCACTTTGGTCAGCCTTGTGTGTTTTAAAGTGCTATATAAAATAAACTATGATGATGATGTTGATGATGTAATACTGTGGTTGACTGTGATGAAAACACGGTAAGGACTTATCTGACTGATAGGAAAATTTAAAATGGTGAAGTGCACTTTTGATAATGTTCTCACAACAGCACCATAGAACATAGTGGCTCAACCAACAGTAACTGGTGATAAATGGTGAGTGGAGCACCTGCCCAAAAGCACTATGAGAGCTATAGATGAACTCTTAGGCCCAGTACCACTTAATGGACTTGCTTCAGTTCGGACTGAGATATCATTTGCGGGTTGGATAACTTACTGGGTCAAAGGACTCTAATGATGGTTTTCTAGTGCCTGTATTTGTTTCAAATTATCTGAATGTGGCAGATGATCTTATCATTGGTTTTAATGTAGTAGGGGAAGTGATCAATGCAAAACATAAAGAGAAGCAGGATATTATTGCTAAAGTAACGCTTTTTAGTGTTGACTCTTGTACTGCAAAAACCTTTATCCAGACAATGCACACTCACCATTCTAGTGATGATGAGTGAGAACAGATAATGGCAAGTACAGGACCCGATTGTCTGCCTGATCCCTGGCTGAAACATATCCACTTTGAAAAAGAGTTTTATTTTAAAAACTAATTTTCTGCATCTGCTGTCATGCTTGCTAATTAAATCCAAAAAGCAAATTTTCACTTCTCTCATGATAATCAAACTCATGCTTAATTTCTTCTTCTGTAGTGCCAATATTTACACTTTTGTCTGTTGTTCAAAGGCATACATAAAAAATTATGTGCTTGCAAACAAGACTAAAGATTCAGTGCTGAAGTTCAACCTGGCTTAGTGCAGACCTGAGAAGAGGGAAGAAATGACAAGGATACTCTCAAGGGACTACTACAGCCTGCGAGGCAATGGGTACATGACAGGTGGAGAAAGCTGAAGGTATTGGCAGGGCATTCTCTTGCAGTGTTCTGGCTGGCTGGGCCACAGATATTTTAAACCTTGTTTTTTGCGACCACAGGTAAAGCCGGGGGTTGAATTTCTGACTTCCCGTTTCACTATAAAACATTTTTTTCCGTGTGAGCCAGCCTTTTATTTATACCATGTACGTGCACCAGGATGTGTGATTTTTTGTGTCTCTCTCCCACTCATCCATAGGTGGTGGCAACATAAGATACCAATACTGCACGAGCCACAGCGAGAAAACTATGACACAATGTTTTGAGGAAGGAATTACACTCAGGATAAGAATACACAGTTTTGGTGAGTAAGTTATGTCCAAAAGAAAACACTGGGGCACCTGAAGCCTGCACTGATGAAATTATAATAAATAATACTATAGTTCCTTCCGTTTTTGGCCCACTAGAAATTAGAATGCTGGCTTCTCATGCACAAATTTTAACAAAATGCTATAAAACACGAAATACAATTTTCTTCAAATTGCAATCATGACACTGGGGATCCAAAAGGAGGACTTTCGGGCCAGTTTTTTTGGTCCCAAAACATAGAAATAGAATTGAATGGTGTATGAGTCAGTGAACTGAGTTCTCTCTTGGTATTCGGTTTTTAATACCATACATGCCTGTTTGTCTCCCTTATCCATGTAACCAGTGTTGATTGTAGTGGTCTCTCTGCAAACACTGGCCAATCTCAGAACAAAGAGAATAACATTGATCTTCTCATCTAATTCCCTGTAAATCTTGCTTATTTCGCCAAAATGTCAGAGTATTCCTTTAAGGGTTTACTTTTCTTTTTTTGTCTTGGTCTCATTATCTAGAACAGAATCAAATTTTCTGTGTATTGATTGAATAGAAAGCAGGTGGGGGAAATAAATCAGTCCTCTATTATGCAGCTGATTTCGTCTGTTGAGTCATCAATGCAAAAATAACCCTGAGAAGAGAGAGAGAGAGAGAGAGAGAGAGAGAGACCATTACTGTCCATCTACTTTTTTCAGACCAAACAGTGAAAGTGTGAAAGTGTTATTATTGCTGACTTCATCATCCCAGACATTTTTTCATTTTATTTCCTCTGATTGTTTCCAACCGAATTCCTGACTGCCCCACCACCTCAAACCCAAAGTGAGCTCTTGATTTTATCTGGTCCTCAGTCCAGTGAATGCCAGTGTCAGCTGGATTAGGAGCCTAATTGGTATGGAGTAAGGAATCCTTTGCACAGCCAAGAGGTAGACCGAGAGTAGAGATGTAATTCACAAAACCCATAGCTAAACCAGGTGGAGCAGTGAAGGGGAGAAATCCTTCCTTTCTCTTCTCAGGCTTATATCTTCCACACACAGATGCACATCACTAGTTTGCACATGCAAGAAGTGATACAGGAAATGACACCTAGGATATAAAACTCACATTTGACTAGGCGTACCCTCCCACAGGCAAGCCCTCATGTGCATAAAATAGGAATTGCATTTTAAAAATGTCAGCACAAGTGCATATCAAAGCAGAGAGGACAGAACATTTTACGGCTTGAACCATGCATTAGGTTAAAATCCATTTTCCAAGCTAATTGTTTCCATAAGTAAGAGAAAATGTTTCAGTTAATATATTGTTAAACGAAAACACAGGGAATATTAAGTTCAAAGTTCATCTGGTGTTTTTCATTTTAAGCAGTTTAATCACTTGTTAATTCACCTATTAATTTCATACAAGTTGTTGTTAAGCAGTAAAAATAAGGTCAAACCAATATTTGATGTGACCAGGGAGGTCAGGGAGGGGCAGCCATCTGCTGCAATTGGTTGGGGGTGAGGAGAGGGAGACAGGACACATTGTGGAAGAGAGCCAGATTAATAATAACTAATAACTAATTTTTAAATGCAAAGTAGTGTATATACACATAGAGTGAAAAGACGTGAGAGAAGAAACACCCAGTGCGTTATGGGAACTCCCTAGCAGCCTAGGCCTATTATGGCATAACTAAGGAAGAATTCAGGGTCACCTGATCAAGCCCTATCTAGCCCTAACTATGGTTTATCAAACAGGAATCTAATTGAGAAGGTAAAGAGGGTGTCTTTGTCCCAAATTTAAACTGGGAGCGCACTCCATAGAAGAATGGACTGAAAGCTGAAGCTCTGCCTCTCATTCTCCTTTTAAATGCTCAAGTAACTACAACTAAGTCATCAGTCTGAGAGTAAAGTGCTCTTTTGGGGTCATATGGTACTATGAGTTCTTAAAGATAAGGTAGGCCCTGATTATTTAAGACCTTGTGTGTGAGGAGAAGGATTTCATATTCAATTCTGGAAGGAAGCCAGTGAAGAGAAGCCAGTATGGGATAAATATACTCTCTTTCTATCCCTGTCAGTACTCTCACGGCAGCATTTTGGCTCATCAGCTGACTGTTGTAATCAGGGCTCTGGGGAGCCATTCCATATGTTGCACCAATCAGCAAACAGGCAAATATACTCTAAGTGACTAGCTTTTGATGATGGTAGATTATTTACTTGCTCCAGATATATATCCTTAATCCATTTATTAACAGACATGAAACAAAAGTTAAAAGGAGACTCCTTTGCATTTGCATTTTTTATTTATGTAGACATATAACTTCAATTTTGCGTTAACTAACATTTACAAAAACACAGGGTATAAGCAAAATATTAACAAGAACTTTTTAGCCCAATACACCACTTGTTTTTCTACATGAAAACAGCTGTTCCTGTGAATTTTATCTCCCTCTGTGCAAGTCAACACCTGATTCTTTTATATGTGTGACTCTAACTCCTGAAACAATAAACTTGTTCAGCCAGCGGCACTCAACAAACTATAAGTCCCATCAGTCTCATTGCTTGAATGTAAACAAATGTAGAGTGTATGTGAGGAAAATGGCCTTACTAATGCATAACAGTTTGCATGTAAACAGACTGGCAGGTGTAATACGAGGCAACACTTCAGTATAAGGCTTTCCTCAACACTGAGGAAGGCCTGGTGCTTAAGAGCGTCTGTGTTTTTCTTACTTGTCATATGAAACAGTGTATGTGCTGAAGTTCTCTTTCACAAGTGTGTAATTACATTTCAGTCACTATAGGCCTCAGTCAGAATGTTAAATATTAAAGTTTATGACAGTATATTTAGAAATCGACTGAACAAGTACTCCTCTGTAAGTTTTCCATCTCAAACAACCTGAATTATATTCATGATTACACTTTTTCAAAAGTAGTGGTTTGGGTTGAAATACAAGACTTATTACCAGCTGTGAATCTGTGCATGACATTGTTTTGTCTGTGTGTATTGTGGCAAAATGTGCTGATCCTAGAAACACTTATCATATCCAGAACTAACATGAAGGTATATTAATTCCACATGACAGTATATTTTGGGCAGTATCTTTTGATAAACTTAGGTATGTAGTTGAATTCAAATGAAGGTAAATTTGGAAATGCATATTATCCGACCCATGGAATAAGCATGTAACTAGAGACCCTTTTGCAATGCAGTTGTACAGGTTCAGTGCCTCTAAAGGTGTTTACGCTATAACTCACGAGTAATTTGTACTTATGAGCTGGACTGCACTGCGTTTTACACAACTTAGATGTTTATTGTCACAGAGACCACTTGACAAGAAGCAGATAAATTCAAGTGAGACTAATCAGGGATAACAAGACAAGGCAGTAAAACTAAGGTTGAAGAACAAGAGACAAAAGACTGGCACAAAAACCCCCACAGTAAAGAACTAAATAAAGAGAAAAATACACAATACAATTTAACATAGAAGAAGGGAAGAGGGGACTTGGAAAAATAACTAGTGCTGTCAGCGTTAATGCCTTAATACAGCCTCATCACGATTAACATGATTAAAAAACGCACTCAACCTGTCTGGAGCGCAGAATGGACAAACGTCGGACAAACTGCCCAAAATGCGTTGACAGAGACATTCCAGGGATTTTGAGTCAGTCTGCGCTCCAGATGAGTTAATTGTTAATCGCGTTAGTCACGATGACAGCGTTAACACGCTTAAGATGCATTAATGCGTTAACACCGAGTAACCCCTCACACGCACTAATCTGCGTTAACTCTTTAACGGGGATTTGCCAATTTTGATGCGTTAATGCATTAACATTGACAGCACTAAAAATAACACACAACATACAATTCAATTCAATTTTATTTATATAGCGCCAAATCACAACAACAGTTGACTCAAGGCACTTTATATTGTACAGTATTATACAAATGAAAGAAACTGAAAGTAAGAACTAAAAGCTAAAGCTACCAAGAATGAATATTAAAGGAACTAAATAGAACATGCAATAACACAACACCAGTCAAAAAAACTCTTGGTCAAAGATGGTTTGTGATATGCATGTATGTACTAGTCTGCATTTCAATACAATTGCCAGAGAAAACATTTCTTCCATTCACACATAGAGAGCTTAGAGTACACTTGGAACTTGAGAAAAAAGTAAGATTCACCTGCTATAAAATAATAGTTTTTTTCACTCTATAAAAAGACACTAATTTCCTTCACTGACTTTAATGTTCTGCACTTGGCATGATTATAGTAGCCCATAGAGAGAGCAGACAATATTTCTTTGCTTTAACAACTGAATTTCCCATTTTAATATGGAATTATAGTGGTAAATGTCACATTTAGCACTAAACTGTTCTTCTCGGTTGTTGTGTCCTTGGGCAAGTCACTTCACCCGTTGCCTACTGGTGGTGGTCAGAGGGCCCAGTGGCGCCAGTGTCTGGCAGCCTCGCCTCTGTCAGTGCGCCCCAGGGCAGCTGTGACTACAATGTAGTTTGCCATCACCAGTGTGTGAATGTGTGTGTGAATGGGTGAATGACTGATTGTAGTGTAAAGCACTTTGGGGTCCTTAGGGAATAAGTAAAACGCTATACAAATACAGGCCATTTACAGGCCATTCTTTGAATGTCTATGACAGAATTGATTTAAATTCATAGGCAGATGACAGCCTTGTGTGACATCAGTAAGTACGAATTATGACCAGCTGTATGGATTAAATTTAGCTGAAAGTCTTGTTGTGCTGATTGTTTTACTTATTTTGCCACAAATCAATCAGGAATTGAGGCAGGTAAACTGAATCTGAGAAATTTTCTGTTTGCTGTAAGTTTGTAATTACTGAAAAAGACGAGCCCTACATCACAGATGACTTGCTTTTATTTGGATTACAAAAAAAATGAAAAAAGTAATGTAATCCATGATTGGTGACAAGTTAATTAAAGAGAACACAACAAAAGCAAATGCTTTCACAACCAGGCAAAAGAGATTATTGATTAGTTTAAAAAATCATTGATAGCGTACTTATGCTAACACATTCCACTTCACCAATCCCAAACTGGATGAATACCTATGGAAGATTTAGAGATGATACAATAAAGCGCCTTTCAGACATGCAGACATTTCTATGAATCATTTCTATTAATAAGCACCCATTTCTATGAAAAATTAGTTTATGTATGCAATTAAAATTAGTGTTTTGGAGAATTTTCCAAACACGAGTAAAATGAGAAAATTACCTTTTGGTGGGGACACCATGCTTAAGTGTTTGCCCTAACCATTTTCTAAGAATGATCAGAGCAGCTTTGTAATGAAAAAATTAGGTTATATGGCAAATAGGTTGTTTTCTGCTTTTAAAATCATGTCTGAAATGTTACATTGTTTTTCTTTCAAGCACCAATGCTGGACCACAAAAATGACATGGGCCTAAAACACAAAATTCACAATTTGGGTGGCTTTAGTTGCCTGCGGAACACTGTCCACAGACCTCTCCAAAAACTCTAACACTCATTTCACGTATTTGGATTTTGCTTCATTTACCTTCCTCTACAGTTTCACAGCTGTAACATGTAAAACATTTTCCGGATATTTTTCTTTCTTAATAAAATTAGATGGTTACCATGATGGGGACAGATTATGTGACAGGCCAGATTAACTACACTCGTCGGTAATGACTATAATCCAAGTTCTGAAGATTATTGTATCCTGCTGTTTTAATAAGCCTTTCTTTAGAGTTTGTTATAGCAAATTGCTTATTTCATTTCAGACTAGCTAGCTATCAGAGTCACACTTAATAAGATGCAATTTAATAATTGCCTGATGGGATTAATATGGTTTTCTAAAGTGTGTATGGAAGCATTCCAATAACTTCTTATATGAGGTTTCCTCTAATTATTAAAATAAATCAAAATAGTGCCATGCTAAGATAGCTCATACTATGCATTACATGTAATGATGCACAGCCAGATCTTGCATATTCTGTTCAGTTCAGTTTAATTTATATAGCACCAAATTGTAACAACAGGTTCTCAATGTAACAGACTGATGAAATGTTACATAAGCCCATTTCTTGTCTAAAGGCACTGTCTGTGGTCATCAAAACACCAAACAGCTCAATAGTTACTTGATGGTAAAAACCCGTCATAGCTCATATAACATAACAAAAAATAGATCATTTAGTACATGCAATAAATTAAATTAAAACATTTTAAAATTAAATAAAATTTAAAAAGTAAAATAAAATGAATGAAAATATAACAAACAATTTCATTGCATTTGAATTAATCATTTATATATTGAATTAATTATTTCTTATTTTAATTAATTAATGACATATTTAATTACTTTTTAACTGATATATTTATTTAATTCATTTTGGCACTCATGGCCCTCCATTTGAGTGAATGAACATAACTTCTTGAGAAAAAAGTCATCACTCCAGTATTAATTAGCACAATCACTGTCCTATCTTTTGAAAACACTGCAACAGTCTTAAGATAAGATGTCCTATGTGCTTTATTTAAACATTGCCTGAAATCATACTGACAAGTTTTTTGATACTGATAAACTTCTATTACGATTGCCCTAATCTAATCTAGGTGAATGAACTACACAAAATGAAATTAAGGTGTTTTTTTTTCCTATTCATGGCAACGATTAGTCCTGTACACCCAAGAGGCCATCAGAAATAGTTGAAATGACAAAGGTTTTGACCAACAGAAAGATAAACCTTATTTTGAAAGAATTGGATGAAAACGTTTAAGGCTTTATGAGGCGTCATCTGGCCATCACTAGTAGCCCCATTGCTCGGCATGTTTTCATATCTTGCATGCTGTCTGATTATGTTTTGTTCTGTGTCAGCGTCAGCGTCAATGTCAATTTTATTTCTATAGCACATTTAAAAGCAAGGAAGTCGGCCAACGTGCTTCACAAGTAAGTGTCTTGTGTTAAAGTGCTAAATGTTATCAAAGTGGATTAGTGGATACACTAATGCAGTGGTTCCCAAACTTTTTTTTTGCTGTGCCCCCCTTTGTTTTACAAGAATCATGTTAACGTTTGTGAACTAAAAATTAAGAATGTGGGATACTGTTTGTCAGTGATTTGAAGAGCCCAGCGCATGATCCCGACGAAGGGAAAACCAATTCTGCAGGGGCGACCTACCTTGGCACTTGTGCAGGTGAAGTCAAAGGGAAGACATGCTTCACCAGATTTTCTAGTCTTTGGCTTAGAATGAAGTTGGTTTGGAAACATATTCAACGATGCTTCATATCCTGCTTTGCGTTTGTGTGGGCGCCCAAAAAATCTGTCCATTATGCTAGCAGTGTCCAAGTTTGTTTTTTTTTCCTTTTCATACTGCGCCCCCCTGCAATAGCTCTGCGCCCCCCCTTAGGGGGCGGGCCCCACACTTTGGGAAGCTCTGCACTAATGGAATAAATTTGTCACACTAAGCTAAATAAATAGTATGGGCAGTTGCAGCTTGAATTTTCATGTACTAAATACATTTAAATGTAAGTAAAAAATATCCCTTGTAAATCAAGTGGTTTTATTCACTGTGTTGTTTTTTTTGTTGCTTAAGTACTTAACAATAGTTAACTAGTTAATGTGAAACTGATCACAGACTGCTGTATCGAAAATATGTAACTCTCCATTAAGAGCCACTTGTACTGGGTGTTAGTGTAGGAAACAGGTCAAAGACCTTGAACTCTATGTTGGCATAATTACAAGTTTCATTGTGGCCACAACAGACCCATTTCAGCCTTAAGCCCCTTGTTCATCTGATTGGGGTTGATTACGAGTTTGCTGTAATCATGAGCGTTATGAAGTCGTGGCTCTTATTTGAACTGATTTCTTTTTCTGAACCCACAGATGTGTGTTGACATGGATTATGTAATGTAAGATAGTAAGTTTAGTTTGTTCTTTTTAAATGGTCAGGCATATATCTGGTCCTGGCTTACACATTAGCACAAACAAACAACAATGAAACAACTTAAACATCACAGTAAAATCACATCTCTTAATGTTAAAAAAAAAGTAATTACAAATTAGTTATGAAACATTTACAAAACTTTGAGTTCACATATCAGACAATCTGAGACCTGAGCATTACATTAGCATGCTAATATTGCTAAGGTATTGATGATTAGCAAGTTGAATGTTTATAGTGTAGTTTGTCTTGTTAGCAAGCTACTATTTGCTAAGTATTGCTCAACACTTAATAAATTTCTAACTGATGAAATGATTTGTTTGTTTAAACAAAATTAAGTTCAAACAAATGTAATGGAGTTGAAATTGACCTGCCTTTCCAGTCAATAGATATGTTGACAGATGTAGATAAATGGAAAGTTCACAGTAAGGCAACTAGTAGTAGAAAAGAAAGGGTCCAAACAACATGGTCAGGATTTATTAAAAGGACACCGTGAATGTCTGTATATAATCTCCTAGTAACCAAGTCAGGAGGACTCCAAAACCATCACAATATATTTTGGGAACATAAAAGCCAATGGTTAAGGTTGTTCAAATAGACCAAATTGGTGGAACAACAGACCATACAGTCCCTATTCATTCCACAGTGACACCAACAGAATTGGTAAGAATTGCTATGCCTCAATTTTGGATTCTTACTCTTTGTGTCTCAACCTGGTTTTAGTGTGGCACCAGATAAGTTTCCTTTCCACAACCTGAAGTTTCTTGTTGGCAGTAACAATCAGATGTCATCTAAATAATTTCATATATACTCAAACAGTTATTGTGGTGTGAATTTGGTGAGAAACTGTAGCAAACATAAAGCAATCTGTGCAGTATACTGTGCATTACAACCAATCTGGAGCTTGAACAGTGGCTGTGAGTCTCTAGGTCTTAAAATGCCGTACAGATTATCAGCATTGCAGACGCTCTTTAGATTGCCACAGCGCACACCTGGATTTTTGAAAATAGAACAAAGCCATATCATAGCTTGTATTAATTTTCACCCTGTTA